ATTGCAATGAAGAGTCATATTTACCCTTTAACTGTGGTAAAAACCGGGTAGGGACTGTCAAAAAAAAAAAAAAAAAAAAAAAAAATGACGCGTGGTCCTATTTTTTTGGCGATTTCAGCGTCGCGCAAGTTAGGGAAGGGAGTGCAGTCGAGTGTCGAGTCATCTTTATACAGTGTGATGTGCTTCAATCTAGCTAGCGGCAGTGTGCTTACACCCTTAGTCGAATATTTATCGCAAATAACTCTCGCATAGCAATTGCGTTTGGTGCAACGCGAAAAGTATTCATGAAATTTTGAGGGCGCTAATATGCGTTCGACGCCGACCGCACTGTCTGGCGCAATGCGTGAAGTATTCCTGCAGTCTTGCAGGCGCTGATATGGGTTTGACGCCGACCGCACGGTGTTTAGCGCGATTATTTAAACTCGCGTTAGGATAATCGCGGCATCGAAAAATGGGGCTCATCCTTATGAGCCCCATTTTTCGATGCGGCGTCAAAACGCAGCAAGGGCCTTCCCTTGCTGCGTTTTGACGCCGCATGGGCATTCAAACGTTGCCTCGTTTCTCCCGATAAAATATTTTTTCTGAGAAAAGTTTATGTCATAAACGGGACTAGTTTGAAACGATATTTTTGGCGGGCTCCGATGACGTAGCCAGGCGAGGAAACACACCTGTAAAAGTTGTTATCGGTACACCTACCCATTCAAATCTATTTTATATTATAATGAGAGTGACGCGTTCATAACGCTTGAAGCGCAAATAGCGCTTCAAGCTTGAAGGGTCGGACTACGATGCGGTCATATTTTTGACTTTCATGAACATTTTTCGGAATTTTTAGCCTTGATTCCCCTGCAAGATTGAGTGGAAGTGGACCCAGCGTCAATCTACCATCCTGATCGGTGGCGTGCTTTGCGATATATAGATTGATTTGCCACCTAAACCTATGGGAAAGGATCGATTAATAGGGTGTTCACAACGAACACCCTCATAATCGATTCTTTACCATAGGTTTAAACGGCATAACAATCGATATATCGCAATACACGCCACGCCACTGATCCTGATGATTCAGCAGATATAACTCCGACTCTCTCTCCTCTTTTCTCTCGTTTCTTGATTCCTGTGCGAATAGGTTACTATGGCTTGATCTTTTAAGCTCATTTTCTTTACTTTTTTCCCCCAGTGTCTCTCACAGCAGCAGTTCGACAAAGACAAACAAAGATTCAAAAAATAAGCCACCAAAAAAAAGATTTGAAAGAGTTGTGGTACGTATCTTTTTTAGTTGTTATTTAGCACTATATTATTTGATAATACAAATAAATAATACCATTAGGGCATTCTCTCGATAATATTATTTAACATACAATATACTAGCTCTTACCACACATAGGCTTTCTGGTTCCCTAAATTTGCATTTTTCTTGTAGATCTTTTCATCAAGATTTGCGCAATTTTCCATGCTTTTCACGGCTATTGAGAAGTAATGAATTTTTGAGGGGCGCGTTCTTCGTAAAATTTTGAAAAATGACAATTTTTTCTGTATTATTCGATGAAAATATCAAATTAATCGAACAATTTAAATTTCCATTTATTTTCACATTCAGCCATCGATAGGTATATATTAAGTCATTGCCGTAGTGCTTATTAATATTATTAACCCGAAATTCATCATCCACCTATATAGTAGCTAGGTCAACAGCTGAAAAAGGGTGATGATAGGTGCTGTCATATAATTTTCCATAGGGACGTGTTGAATTCCCAAAAGTTAAAACTTCCACCTGTCATCAAGAGGGCAGTGCTGCCGAGATAGCGAGGAGAGCAACATGAAGTTTTGAGAAAACAGGCTCAGAGGCGTCTGATCGGAAAATTTTATTGAAAGAAGCCTCCGTTCTTTGTCATATTGCTGGAGGAATAATGACACTTATTGCGGTACTGCCTGAAACCACGTCATTTTTTGCGCACTTACGCCTTGCTCAGATGTCTCGTTTTTATACCATTAGGATGAATTCTGCTGTTTTAGTTATTTCAGTGATATCATTTAAAGTAGGTCAGATAAATTTTGAAGGAAACTCTATTTTGAAAATTTGACACCTGCTGCGCTGCGCTCCTCGCTATCACGGCAAAGTAGAAGGTCTCTTGTCTCTGGAAATGGGTGACGAGGGATGCATGGGGAACCAGTGGGGAAGCCCCTGACTAGCCGAGAGGGCCCCCGAAGCGCAAGCAAAAGATTAACTTATTTGCGAGTCATAAATACTAAACTGCCATTGAAACAATTCATTAAATAATTCATATTTCTTTCCTCACAGAGTACTGCCGCCAAAGTGACCAAAGTGACGAAACTTTTAAGGAGGCGCAGCACCAGGTATGAAGATATGACACATAATCATTCGGAGGGATCTAGTCCATAACACGCAACCAATGGCGTAGCGTGATTTGCGATATATCGATTGATCTGCCGTTTTATGCTAGAAAAATACCGATAAACAGAGTGGACGCAACGATCACCCTAAAAATCGATTCTTTACCACAGCCTCTAATGGGGAACGATAATCGACCAATCACGGCCTCGCCACTGTACGCGACGTTCTCATAGTACCTAACGATTTGCGAGTTATTATATCTCTTTTTGCATATTTAGCCTTAAAACTCGCATATAGGTCAACTGTTGAACGTTTCTCCATGTTTTGAGTATATCCATTGAGAAAATATACACACCGCTAATTTTGGGATATTTCTAAAAGATTCAGATCGGCACCAAGCTATCGGCCTCTTCCCTAAAATTAAGTTACTCGGATTTATATTTCATATTCCCCCGAAGCCTGGTGCATGGAAAAATTGGAAGTCATATTTCGGACCTAGCCGCAAAAAATCGATGTGGATTTCGCGGTAAACTACAGCGCTCTGAAAATAGGAGACATTTTTTTTGCCGTTAGCAGAAACGTCGTCGTAACTCGATTCTAGATTTTTTAATTTCTCCCGTAAAATTTTTTTCATCGCAAAAAAACCGACGAGCCTTCATTCTCCACATTTTTGGAACGACAGGTCTTTTGCAAGATCCAGGTATGACCTTGAGTATATAGGTTGAAATCAATTTTGTAATCTATCGGAATATATTTATGGACCTGCGTCATGAGAAACGATGAAGTATATACGTTTCTCACACGAAAGACGGAAACTATTGAATATTCATGACTGAAAATTTGACTTGTGTTCCCATTGAATCACAAGCAAACTGCAAAGTCTTATCCTTGTAAAAAATTGAGTTGTTTAGGTCACTAGCCGCTTTTATCACCTGTGATCAAATTTGCTCGACACGTAACCAACAGCCATGCGTGTATACCCTTATTTACAAAAAAGAATCCGTTCTATCACCGTTTGTCAGTCACAATTAGACCATAAATATCTCTCCATTTGAGGCTATGGTAAAGAATCGATTATTAAGGTGTCCGTTGGAAACATCCTGTTTATCGATCCTTTTCCATTGGTTTAAATGGCAGGTCAATCGATACATCGCAAGGTACGCCAGCTACGCCACGCCACTGCTAGATGTGTAACTTTCCGGGGCAGGTCATCTGGATCTAGAATTCTGCGTTGGGCGAGCGAGTCAGTGCGGTTTTTTTTGCGTGTATTTGTCACGACATGTTATAAGCAATTCTTAAAGTTAGTATGAGGAAATCGGGTAAAGATTGAGGCACTTTTGTGGTGGTTTGCGACGCTAGCCAATTAAGAACTAGGATCTGAATCACCTCTGGTTAAAACATTGGAAAGGCACTCACAGTACCTGTCAGATATTTTCGGATTTTTCCTTCCACTGAGCTAAATTTGACCAGCGAACTGATTATTGACATCGACAGACGAAGTGATAGACAAAGAAGAAATAGGGAAAATGGAGTCATCCTATATATTTGTGAAAAAGGGTGGTTGCATGGGACGAAGGAGGAGCTTGGAGGACGAGGCGCATTAGTGTTGTTTTTGAAAAATTTAGATACTAATGTTCCAAAGTTAAAGTAAGTCTTAATGTATATTCTGTAAAAAATTCGCTCCCAAATTCTCATTTTTAAGCATCAAAAAGTCAGTTTGAAATTTCTTTTTGCCATTACGATCCACGTAATTTCGAAACTTCACGTATTTCTGGAAATAGCAAATAATGCGCTTATATGCGCCTTATCCTCCAAGCCCTTCAAAGGTAGTAAGTAATAGACTAACTAGAGGCAACCCACGATAAACCCTATGGTTAGTCTTATCATTCTACCATTTAATCTTCAACAACAGCCGGTTTCAAGCAATAGGATCGCTTTATTTTCCTCTTGTCTTCTTTGTCTATTGATTTGTCTTTCAATTTTAGGAATAAGCTCGCGGGATTTCGAGGTTAGAGGAAGTAATAGAGCGCTACTTTCGTATTTTTCCGCTTGCAAACGAAATTACCAGTTTGACCTGCAGTGAATAAAAAGTTCAGTAAATCCGAACTAGTCAGGATGATATGGAACCAGGTTTTGTTCGGTACACATAGTCGAATTTTTCGGTTTCTTCAACTAAACTGTTCGGTTTTATGCAACCGAACTACACCGAATTCTTACAGTTCGGTTCAGCAGACCGTACAGTTTGATTGAGCAGGCCTAATAACTCGGTTGCGCGTACCGAACAAAACCTGCTTCCATATTATCCTAGCTAGTTCGGATATACCGACCTTCTTTTCAGTGAGGCGATGGGAATGGTTTTAATTTTGCAACCTTAGAGTAGAGTTATTCTCCTCTTCTGGGCAGGAATGATAAGCACCTCATACCCCCGTTCGTGGCTTGTTTCAGAAATCGCGGTGAGGCGTTATCACGGGCAGAGTCGTTTCGGGACGAAAGGAGTTGCTGGGCTGATTATGAATCTTATTCACGCCGGCTCTTAGAACAGGTGTGCCCCGATACTGCGATAAACCATGATTTGACCACGGATGAGAATAGGAAGATACAAGCCGTCCTAAGACTCACGGAAAAATTCTGCAGAAATCGTGCGATGGATCCTGAGCAAGAGAGGGAAATTATGAACGGATTAGCAGAGCTCGAGGAGGATTTATGTCCGGATGCTGAAGGGTCGAAGAGAATCTTCCAGCCGCCGATCGCACCCCAGCCCCCCTTCATGCCCCCCACGCGGGCGTCACCTCCGGGCTCCCCAGGACCGTCGACCCCGAACCCTGACCACCTCTCCTTCTTCAGGGAGGTAGGGGATCATCTAAGTCAACTTCCTCCAGGCACTCCTCCACCTCTATCCAGACCGACAAGTCCCAGACACTTCCAACCGCCCCCACCTCCAGGGTCACCCACCCCGGACCCCTTTTTAAGAACCAAGCAGCTGGAGCAGTGGCTCCGGGAAGTATGCCCACAAGATAATTCTCCAAAGAGGACCAACGCGGGATTGTCACCCTCTCGGCTGTCACCCCCTCGGCCGTCATTGTCACCCCCTCGGCCGTCATCGTCATCCCCCCGGCCGTCATCGTCACCGAGGGCACAGGGAAACGGAGCGAGATGGTCACCAATAAGGCCACCGCCGCCGCCTGCCTCCGTCGAAACCCCGATTATATATAGTGGCAAAAGGATAGACCAGATTATTGCAGAGGATGGAAGCATAAATAGATTTGGTCGGAGTTAAACAGAAAGGATCCAAGCCAAATCGGGATCGGACAGAGAAGAAGAGGTTTAAAGTTTGGCTCCTGCATAAGACTCAATGTAAAAGATAAACTTCAAGTTCAATTTCTGCAAAATTTGCTCCGACAAAAACTTTGAATTTTTGGCGATAGATAGTAGAGCAGTGGTTGAGTTCAAAACCACTTATAACTCAATTTTTTCTAGAATTTGGGTTGTTCCCTTTCTGCTTAACTCAGTCCTATTATGAAAAAATATTCTGTAATTGGAGGCGGATCTAGCTAGAGTACCTTCATAGACAGAGTATGGCCATTCGTATCTTTTTACTACAGGAAAACTGAGCCGCTTTTTGATTGGTCGACGAGTGTTGAGACTTCATGATGCTGCCGTAAGTAAACAAACAAGATGGCGACTCACCACAACATTGATAAGAAGCTAAAATTTGACAAAAATTTTAATTATACGGCGGTAAACATTTAAATTAGCATAGCTGCGAATAACACGTGAAAAACATATAAAAACACCGTCAAATTGCCTTTCGCCTTTATCACGGTAGGATGTAAGATGCGCATAACCTCAAACTAGAGTCCCTTTATACCCAGAGTTAAGACAACTCACTTTTGGTTGGGCCAGGGTTGGGCTGAAAGTGGCCTAAAAAAAATCCAATTCTGATTGGTTTTCGCTCATGGAGGCCGAAACGAGTGCACCAAGATGGCGGTACCTCGAATGTGAACAAGAATAATGAAAATATTACCTAATTGTGGTTTATAAAGAGTAAATTGTTATTTCTATCAGTCCAAAATGAAAATAGATTAAGAAATTATTCACAAACCAATCTCATTTTCTTTTTAATTGATCAATTTGTTGATGTTGTTTTTGTGTGACAGACATCGCAGTATTCCTGATCCTTATCCCTCAATATCGTTCCTTTGGGTGCACTCGTTTCGGCCTCCATGGCCAGCCAAGGCCGGCTATCAGTCAGCTGATAATCGAGTTGTCTTAACTCTGGGTATAAAGGGACTCTACCTCAAACTTGCTTGCTGATAACAGCCATCTTGTTTGTTTATTTACGGCCGTAAGAACATCACGTCAGCCTATTTTCTCGCCACCAATGAAAAACCGGCAGAGGAATGACCATATTCTGTCTATAAAGGTACTCTAGATCTAGCGAGTTGGCAACATCTCCTGTTCTCCATTGAGCCTGTTTTATTGGCTAATCGATTCGTGTTGGAGCCTGGCTCCTCATAAAATCGATTCATTTCCAGATAAAAGATAAATCCCCGATAAAAATCCCATGCATATGAATTGTATATTTTTTAATAAATTATGATTTGTACGATTTTGTTGTAACTTTCCATGAATTCATCATAATTTTTTTTGGAGCGATGCATTTTTAAGAATTAACTGGTTGATTTGGGGATTGGCTAGTTCCTCTATCGATTAGTGCTCCTGCTCTTCCTCCTTTTGACTTCTTGTTCCATCACTACTTTTCATACGAGTTAGAATATTTTTAGGGATGGGGGATGGAAGAGTATAATGTTGTCAAATTACCTAATGCAACATGCCAGCAAATCTACTTCCATGAGTTTGGGCCATTCGGAGCAGCTTTGAGCAAATTGCTCTCTCGGTCATAAAAATAAATAAATAAACTAACGAATTTCATCATACTGAATTAATTTTCAGAATTTAAGTCTTTTTTCAAATATATTTCATACAATCAAACATGTATTACGCTGATCATCCCGTTGAATCTTTCTTTGAACCTGGGAGTTAGTAAATTTGAAAAAAAATCATAAAAATAATTCTAAGGTCCAAATATCCGCCCCATGTATAATTTCGCCTAGGTTAAGTTTCTAGTTACGCTTTATTAATTATACTATGACCTGGCCATGATGAGCAGGATTTCCAGAGATATTCCGGTTCTCTTCCATTGTCTCGGTTTCGCAATTTATGTCACCAAAGAGTCAACATAGTTGTAGCGCAAGGCAAAATGTCTCAGCGAAACATATAAAACAAACAATTGAACAAACTTCATCATCCTTAATTTTAGTGGTTATGCAATTCAAGTCACTCAGGAGTCGAAGTAGATGCATCATGTGGCTCAGTATATCAGCGCTCCACTTTCCTGGTAAAAATTGGCGACAGGAGCTGCGTTTCAAAATAGGAGTTCTTATAGTCGATTGAAGAGGGCGATAGAAAATCATATAGCTGGCTGTAGAAAGTGGTAAAATCTTACGGCCGGGCTACACGAAGCGATAAAAAATTATGCAGCCGGGCCATCTATCTATACTATAAGCTCCGAGACCTCCTAATTTTGCGTAACTAGCGTAACTGCACTGGCGCCTACAAACCTAACAGGGATACTTCACGCATTACGCAATGCGTGAAGTATCCCTGTTAGGTTTGTAGGCGCCAATGCGCGTTTTGCGCTGGCTGCCCGCCTGCCGCGCCGCCGCGTACCACGGCGCTTGTAGCAACTATTTCACACCGGAGGTATTGCGCAGTATCATACGAAATTGAAGGCGCTCAAACATATTAGGAATGGCATTCCTCCTTCAAAAGCACGGAGCTTTACTTGCAAAATAAATCAAGATACTACGGCCCAAAAAGAGAGCGGTAGTCCAAAAACTCACTAAGTCCTAGCATCCGTAATTACTAACGTTTAGCATACACTATATCGCCAGGCTGTTGCTTAATCGCCATCGGCTATAAAAGGCTGTAAGAAATTGTGTTGTCGGCTATAGGAGCTATTGGAAATCTCACAGCCGGCTGTAGGTCTATGGTATTTTGGAACACAGATTCTACTGCCAATTTTTACCAGGGTTAACATTTGAACGTCACAAACATTGAAGTATATATATGCATAAAAAAATTACTCACGAGCATTCTGACTTTCTTTGATCTTGAAGTTCACTGCAGACGCGATTGCCCCCCCCCCCCCCCCCCCCCCCCCCCCCCCCCCNTACGAGGGTTGTCTGTGAGTGAACGTGTTTGCAGTTAACTTCAAGGCCAAAGAAAGCCAGCATAGTCGCGAGTAATCTTCTGATTCATATTATACTGGCGTATTCAACGTTTATGTATGCATTAATTAGATAGATATCGTAATTTTGTAAATATGGGGCAGTTTTGGTATATCCGACTTTCTTTTTCACCTTTCTCATCATTATGATAACATTTCCTTGTCTTCTTTTTTATAACATCAAATGAAAAGTGGAAATTCAAAACACATTTAGTCACGGGACGAGGACCAACATTAGACAATGTTTCCCAGGAAAGAGTTGATGGTGCGAGGCCGTTTAGGTTATTTGGCAAAAAGACACAAACAATAAAAACAATCTCATCCGCAACACTCGTTGGCGCTGACGAGGTTTTGAATCTCCACTCGCTAAATGAGGATAAAAAAATTGGACGAATCGCAATTAATAGCTTCTAGTAGCAATTACTTTCAAAGCTTTCAAAATTACTGTTAAGCCGAGCTCACACGCTGTAAATAAAGCTTTTAAATGGAATTCATCTATGCGTTTTTCAATCATGTCCTGAAAATTGAGTGACATGCTCAAATTTTAGCAATCTATAAAGACTGGGGACGCAAGAATAATTGCAAACTATTTGGATCAATTTGGCACATATTTGGATATATATAAAACCCCCAAATATACGCAATTACCACTGTGAAGCAACAGCTGATTAATTAATTTGAACTTAATCTGAACTTAATTTGCAGCTTTCACTTTTAGCGTGAACTTTACAACAGTCGAGCCTTACATGTTCTTTGAAAAATCCCATATCGACGGTGTAAGTCAGCAATCACATAACTCGGTTTGCGACGTCGCAGACTTCCTGTCGTACCTCATTTTTTAAACGAAAGAATACTCAATGGCAATGCTTTAAAACTACCGTGATTTTTCTTCTATGTGCAAAGAAACTTCTGCAAAAACTTCAAGGAATGATGTCAATTTGTTCTCTTTTAAAAAAAAGAAACATAGAGGCGGAGATTTTCAGACACCGCAAAAGAGTTATGTGATTGCTGACTTGCACCGTCGATATGTATCCTCATTGTGACAATTCACTGCATTAAACCGTCTATGCTCGAGGAAAACTGAAGGAGATTCTAAATTGAATCAATTATTTCAATGAGCCTCTCAGTATTTGAGCCTTGATCTAACAAAGTTCTCGAAGTAAGTAAAGTTCAGTCGGCCAAGATTGGCCTCGAGGAGCGCGTCTGGCTGAGGGGCAATAGGTCGCGGGTTCGAATCTGAGTATTGGTGAAACATTTTTACGGAATACTGAATAGTGAACCTGCAGAAACAGATCTCACTCGGCGTTGATCTTTAAAGGTTCGAAAGTTCAGAGCGAGGATGTGGACTTCCTATAATCCGACTCTTCCTCAAGGATGCAGAACCCCTCAAGGATTTAGAACCTCCATTATCGGGCTCTGAAAGTCGTAATCACGGGCTAAACATACAAAAACCGGCAATTTCGGGTCAGAGGCCTCAAAAAACGGGTTTAGAAACTGTGGCTCGGGTTGTATCCGGAACACCTAAACCCGAGGTAGGCACAGTTGGACCGCGTTAAACAGAAAGGAACCAAGCCACATCAGCTATTGTCAACTTTAATTGGGCAATTCAATTTTTTACATAAATACGGATTTACGGATTTTCGTGTAAATTTCAGTGAATTTTCTCCCTCGCACGAAGCAAATTCCTCAAAAATTTCAAAGGAGTCTGCACAAACGTTCTCTCGTAAAAAATTAAACTACCCAGTCAAATTTGGAAATAGCTGATGTGGCTTACAATTAGTTCTTTTCTGTTAAACGCGGTCCAATTATTCCTCCTTAATTCAATAACTGACAAGTGACAACCCCTAAACTTGGAAATAACGGTAATCTGATGATAAGGGGCCGTTCACATATTACGTAACTCAATTAACNCCGGGGGAAAATTTTTTGAAAAAAATTGCAAAAAATTGAAAATCCCGCTCTTCCCGAATGAATGTTTTGAAAATGAG